TATTGCACATATGAAGGTCATACATTTTAGATGAAAATATTTCAGGTAAACATAAATATGTTATAATGTAGGATAGGCTTTTGTGTCTTATGATATTACCTGATATGTAGCAAACCAATTAGTTGTTCAGCGTGTACATAACATTGCTCTATCTGAAAGCTTGTGATACTTCTCGTTAGGTAAAGATCTTGAAAGGTGGAATAATCCTTTAGGAGCTGTGGCCTCACTAATGTGGGAGTTCTGCTGCGAAGTGTCCTGCTTTTGTGTTATTCAACAAGGGGCTGACTTAGGGTCCTGTCACTTCCTGATTAATTGTTAATCATCTTGTAATGAGTTATGTTCATTTACAGCTATCACTGAAGTTACTGAGCGTTTGCCTAAGTAGGAAGCAATAAGCTAGACTTAAGCTGGCAAATGGCAAAAGGGAGCAGTATAGTTGGGAAGTAAAACTTGTACCTTGAGACCATCCTTGTTTTATACTGATGAATGAACAGTTCTGAAGGTTGGTGTACAGTTTTTGAAGCTCTCCCTTCTTGCCAGTGAAGCTCTTCAGTTCCTCAAAAGAGCTGCCTAACTGGTGCACGCTTAGGGCCAATGGAGTGTGTCCAGATGTGGTGGAACTGGTGTATTTGTTAACATGATTGCTTGTCTCCGATTCCATCCTTCTTATTTGTGCTGAGCAGCAAACAAAGGCTTGAGGCTTTGTAGACCCCTTGGCCATTTTTCTGCTGTGACATGTGAAAAATAGCTGTGGAGAAAAGAGAGGGGCTCAACCGCTGCTTCATGACATCAAAAGGGGACTGAATTCTGTCCTCTCACCTTCCTGCTGCATACCACATAGTCTAATTATACAACTTGTGTACTAGGACTAGAATTTATTTAGTGGTGTTTCTTTGCTGAAGAATTAACATAAAATAATTGGGTGTTTTTCTTGCTTGGTGTTCTTGTGGATTTTTTTTGCCATGCATTCTGCAGATTTTTATTTTTTTGTGTTCTTTCAATTATTTGGAACAGTTGGGAAGAAGAGCATCACAATTTCTATCGCTCCTTCCCTCTTTTAGTGTAAGTTGTCAGCTCCTTACAGATACAAGTTTGAGAATATGAACTTTAAAGGCTTTAGGAAATAAACACAAATAATTAATGCACACTTAGTTCTATTTTAATCATATTTTAAAGCCAGTCTAATGATATTTAGAGATGTGACTTTAGATTTTGTTGTTTTGATTACTTCAGTTGTCAAACGTTACATGTAAAATGTGCTGAAAAGGGTTAAATAGTTAAAACTAAAATTTTAACCATTTTCTTCATGCTTTGTGACAGCTTAAAAATACTAGGTGTAAGAACAGGAGAGCAGAAAATGGAATAGGAGACCTTGTACCTGATGCTTCTTGCATGCAGTGCTCTGACCAGAGCTGCGCTGGCTTCAGGGTCTTTGAATTTGCTGAGGGAAAGAAGAGAGGAGGAAGGTATGGATGGACCTGACAGTCTTCTGGCTGTGTGGTGCTGTATGAGATTTTTTGCTTTTATTTTTTTGGGAGGTCTTGACAATATTTTATTCATTAAAATACCAGGGAACTTTCATCTTTATTTTGAGAAGATACTGCAGTCACTTCAAATAGATCATTTCTGTGACAAAATTTTTAGCTAAGGAAGTCTTCCTTATTGGGAAGATATTCTAATGCAACACCTTTGGAAGGATCTATCTCTTTTTACAGAAGTCAGATGAGTCACCTCAGTCAGACAGTGGGTCTTGAAAGAAAGATAGATAAAACAGAAAATATGTGTCATATTTCAAAATATCCTGAAAAATTACGCTGAATATATAGGGAGAAATATATTGTTATGTATATCATAAAAGATAAATGAGATTCAGGATGGCAGTTTAAAGTAGTCTTAAATCAAGAAGTCAGCATGAGTCAATTTGTTCTCTTTTTTACTTTTTTAATACACATACTTTTTTTCTTCATAACATTACAATAAACAACTACATTTCTGTAGCTTGTTTTTTGATGTGGAGGAAGAATAGAAATGTAACAGCATAGCAGACAATAAGAACTTGTTTAAAAGGTAACTATGAAAAGACAGTATTTCTAGTTTAATTCTGATTTTGTTGGGGAATAAGGTAGTAGCATACTGTGGCTGTTCACCACATGCACTCTGGGCTCAAAACTTTATATCTGAGTACTCCCAGATGTGAAATATGCCTAAGCTTTAAGACATCAAATAAATTCTGTGTTTGAGAGTCACAAATCCTCTCTGTTGAGCAGCCTTTTTTATATAGACTTAAAGAAAGTGGTACCGTGGAAAAAAAAAAGGATCCTGTCACGTTTAGCAAAGCAGTTTTGCCATATATTTCAAAAAGTAAATAGCAGTTAGCATTGCTTATACTGCAGTGCCACCCAGGTAATTTCTGGTAGGCCAGAAATATCAACCACAGATGAAAATGTAAAAAGATCAAATGCTTCATCCCAGGAGAGACCCGCCCTTGGTGATGAGTATTGCAATCTCTTCATTTGGTCTGCAATGGAACTGCCCATTTGTGTTAACTGAAATGTTCAGAGCCTGGACTAGCTTTTATGATATTTGTAGCTGTGATAAAGTGATTAAGATTTTCTGTTTTGCAGAATTTATTACAACTGATGCAGATAGCTGTAAGGCCAGACCTATTCTTATAAGCAGAATGGAATTAGTTATGCCCAATGAAAACCGTTAGGGCTGATTTGCTGCGTATGGGGAAATCCAGTGATGTCAACAGGCATATTTTGTGCAGTGGTGATATAGCTAAGATAGCTTTCAGTGTTGAAAGGTCACACACATTAAAAACCCACCTGCATTTAAGAGGCTGTCACTCTGGTTGTGAAGTTGAAGCTGCAGCAATTAGGATATGCAGCTTTTCAAGCTGCCCATGCAGGTTCCACTACGTTCACTTAAATGCGTAGTCTTTGTGTGCGCCTAAGGGGCGTGTGGCATTTTTCCCTTGGTTCTGTCCTTTCGCAGACTGATGGAGTTTGCTTAAAAAGGGCTGCTTAATATTTTGCTTTGCCCTCAGCACTCATTATGCGGACCCACATCTTTTGTAATGCACATTACTTGGCTTTTGCACTGAGGGTAGAAGGATTAATTTCCTCTTCAGTTTTTCTGTCTAGGCTTTTACTCTCATATCTGAGTTTTTTGCTGAGATTAATTTTCACAATGCTCTTGTAAAATGGGAGCCAACTGTTCTTTTTTTATAGATGAGGGATGGAGGCACATAGGATTTAAGGACCAAATCTGAAATTTGCAAGGCCTGTTTGTCTCTATGTAGCATATATATAGTGTTATATGTATTCAAAGCACACCCACCATTAACACACATATATTGTTTATCGGCTGTACTGGTGTCTTTGTGCCTATCAAATCAGCTCAAGTGATCTCTCTCCCCTTGAGTTAATGGATTAACTGATAGCAGCTGGAGGCTGTCTGTCTCAATATCGAGCTGGACTAGAAAGGAAAGGCAGATTCCTGATGTGTTTCACATTTATTTGCAGATGATAGTGGAGGAAGGTTATGGTATCCCAAGTACCTTTTGAGGCCTTTGGCCTCTGCTCTGGCAGGCATAAATGCTTCTGTTATTCCCCCAGCTGTGACCACTTTAGCCTGATCCCATCTATTCTGTTGTTTCAGACCTCTCCAGGCAGTTGTTCCTGTTGTTTTCTCCAGCTAGATAGCATCTGTCTCTCAACCTCTCTTCCTAGGTCTGTTTTATTTGCAGCACCTAGTTTCAATTCTCTGAACCTCCTCTCCCCTCTCTAGTTTCCTTGCCTAGCTAGATCCAGCTCAGCATCTGATCTGTCTGTTCTTTCAACCCATTCCTGTTTGCTCCCCCTGCACTCACCAGTATCTTCACTGGCTCATAATTCCAGTTTCTGTGTTTCCTGAATTAGCTTGCTTGCCTTTCTTCTCTCCTGTTCCCCTTTTCTCCCTCTTTCTGCTTTTGCAACCAGTTTTTGAGGGGAGTTCACAGCTTCTCCAGTTTTCAGTTCCCTTTTCTAAACAACCTCACTTTCCTGCACCCAGGTTTCCTCTTTCCAGTGCAGCCTGCCATCCCAACTTTAATTTTAATTCAGTAGTTCTTTGACTTTCCCAAGAATGCATGAGGGCTTTTAAAAAAAAATATATATACGTATACACACTCATGTAATTACATTAGATAGCTTTTTCCCTCCAGCTCCTGGAATGGTAGATGTATAATAGAAACAGGCCAAACATAACCCACAGTATTGCAGAAGTCCAGCTGGTGTGAGAGCTGATCCAGTCTACACTGGATCATGCCCAGTGTCTGGAATCTGTGAGCAGTTTAGTTACTAGCATCCAGAAAGTCTGTTGCATGTGTATAAACCGATGTTTTACAAAGACTTATAATTTGACCAAATTAACTCATGAGTAGAATCTTCCAGATTTGGTTAACTTTTCTAGTAGTAACACTAGAAGGTGTGAGATCAGGCTTCACTGTGTATTGCTTGGCAAGACATCAGGAAGAAAACTTGTTTTTACCTCTCATTTATGTGAACTATGGTATGGTAAGCATAAATATTGCCTTCCTTAAACCATCAGCTTGAATGCCTTTGGTGGGTAGTATTAATTACTACTGAAAGTAGTATAGTAGATGTGTTTTCATTTGATGTGAGTTGGGAGGGATTTCTGAAGAGAAGCGATGTCTTACAAAAAAAAAAACCCAAAAAACGGCAACAAGAAAAAAAAACCCCAACAAAAACTCGACCATGCTAACAAACTGGAAATGGCCTGTGGCATTGAACCTGTAAGTGCCTTTAGATTGCAGACGAGCAAGCATGAAGGCAGAAAGATCACAATAAAGAACACTTCTTGTATAGAAGTAAATAGATGGGAAAATGACAAGGGACAAAAAAAGTTGTCATTTTTGTAGCCACAGGAGAGGTGGAAACTACAAATAACCAACATAGTGAAATTCTGTTACCTTTTTGTTTTCTCATTAGGTACATTGAAGAAAGTCCATCTCTGAGACGTATGACTATGATGAGGGAAAAGGGAAGGCGACAGGCCATCAGAGGCCCCGCATTCATGTTCAACAACAGGGGCACTAGTCTTACGGCTGAAGAAGAGCGCTTCCTAGATGCAGCAGAGTATGGGAACATACCTGTGGTGCGCAAAATGCTGGAGGAGTCAAAAACACTGAATGTCAACTGTGTTGACTACATGGGCCAAAATGCCTTGCAGCTTGCTGTAGGGAATGAACATTTGGAAGTGACAGAACTTCTGTTAAAAAAAGAGAACTTGGCACGGATTGGAGATGCCCTGCTGCTCGCAATCAGCAAGGGCTACATTAGGATAGTGGAAGCAATTTTGAATCATCCTGGGTTTTCAGTAAATAAGCGACTGACTCTGAGCCCTTGTGAGCAGGAGCTTCAGGATGATGATTTTTATTCCTATGACGAAGACGGTACCCGCTTTTCTCCAGATATCACTCCCATAATTTTAGCTGCCCACTGCCAAAAATACGAAGTCGTACACATGCTATTGATGAAAGGAGCAAGGATAGAAAGACCTCATGATTATTTCTGCAAATGTAATGACTGTACAGAGAAGCAAAAGCATGATTCTTTCAGTCACTCTAGGTCAAGAATAAATGCATACAAAGGACTGGCTAGTCCGGCTTATCTGTCCCTCTCCAGTGAAGATCCAGTACTCACTGCCCTAGAACTCAGCAATGAACTTGCCAAGTTGGCCAACATTGAAAAAGAATTCAAGGTAATGGTGTTTTGGTGTTTCTCTCTGTCACTGTTTTAAAGTTGCTGCTACTTCATAATGTCTTTAGATGCTTGAAATTATTTCCTGTGTCTTTCCTTTTTCAATTGCAAATGCTTTCATGATATTTATTGTCTCTTTTGTTCTTGATTTTGAGTTTTCAATACATAAGCCTTTAAAAATAATTTTTAATGAAATGAAATTGCGTTTGCACCTACGGTGTACAGAGAAAATTGGAAAAAGGGACAGTGTGTATTCTGATAACCTTGCAGTGGATAGAAAACAATTTTGATTGCTGTAGCAGACAAAAATAGTTTTTAGTTAAAAACATTGAGTAGTGTAAGTGCAGAAAGCAGAAACATTATGCTTTTCTTGAGCCTACTGCAGCACTGACCTTATTTCCTCTTTTTTTTATATGTAGTAATTTTGAATGATGTCTCCAAATAGTTAAGAATACAAAGTGTTTTTTTTGATGCACCTTTTAGAAATGTCACTTGTTCAAAACCAGCTGTTAGACTGATTACAGATGTAGGTTCAGTTGTCTGGTTTAGTATGTCAATGCCTTGACTTTTCTCTATATTTCAGCTTCTCCATCAGACAATTAATGACTTAGCTGTTGCTAACATTTTTTTTAATTATTTTGCAGTTTTGTTGAACACCTCGAAAAGTACAGTAATGCCCACCTTCCCCCTTGCCCCCTCTACCCCCAACCAAGTCCCACAAAAAACAATCAAACCCCAGTAGACTATGTGTAATAAGAAAAGCTTGGCTTGGGGAATGACAGATTGTTCTCAGTGAGTAGGGATATTAACAGCATTGTATCTAGTTTTAGCAAAAAAAATGTAATGGGGTTCTGCAGAATCAGTGTTGGGTACCACTTGTTTGTTTAATATCTTCATAAATGACCTGAGAGAGGCAAAAGGTGCATTAACCTGTTCAAACAACAGCAAGCATTGCTAACACTGTGGAATACTCAGAAATACACAACCACCTGGAGAAATATAGGCAGAAATTAATAAAGTGGACTTTACCAGAAAAGGAAGAAACAGTTTTAGACTCCTGAGAAAGAATAGTTCCAGATATAGCTGAGTGAATAAAAATATAATTTAAAAATTAGATTTCAGTGCTGAGAAGGATTCATGTATTATACCACACATTAATGAAGTGTGAAAGTCAGCTTAAACCTTTCCTCTCCTTCCTTTGCTGAAGGAACCTCCTAATACCATGCTGCGCATTGTGTAACGTGGCAAATGGATTGAGTACTTCCTCAATGTGTTTATTCAGGAGTATAGATTTTTCTTTTTCCTCTGCTGAAAAAGTACTGAACTGGGAAAGCTCTTCGTGAACATAAAATCAGGGAATTAGAGAATTTTATCATATGCACAGAGCCTGTTGATTTGTGTGCTTCACACAATGAATTACAGTTATGTGCCTCATTTAGAGACCATTATAGAAGGTTAAATCTCTGATGTGTATAACTCAGTCCTGTTTATCATTGATTTCTCTTCAACTAGGCCAACAACCTGAGCACCACAGGGTCTCCAGAATCGTGTGCCCAAGGTGGAGATTTATGCGTTTTCTGAATAAGGCTTTGGTGGTTACAGACCTCTTTTTTTTCCTTTTTTTTTTCTCCTGCAGTTTCTTAAAGAGAACTTTTCTTCTGGGTTGGCATCCCAGAAACTCTACTATCTCTTTTTTTCTTTGTGATACTGCATACAAATTTTGTTATTATGTGTTCAGAAACACGGCTGGGTTTAGGGACTCAATTTAAGTGTTACGCAACTCCCTAGGAACCCAAAATACAATCTCTGCCAGCCAAAGCTAAATTAAGGCAAGCTATATCATGTTTTTGTAAGGGGAGGGTGTAGTTGATTAGAACTGAATAGGAAAAATTCAGTAAAAATACAAATTCATGGGAAGCTCCCATGTCATAGGTACTAACACCATGAATACAAATTTTGTCAGAAAAGAACTAGCTTGACATTTTGGAGGAGAAAAAGCGATGTTTTTTGGCTGGACTTCTCATTTCAAACCAGAACTTTAAAAAAGTACTTCAGTTTTTAAAATACTGAATTATCACAGGATAAAATATTCTGGTTGTCAACTTTTTCTTTTTTTTTCCTCATTTTTTTAGCCTCTATTCATAGATAGTTTGTGGATGCCTAAGAACCCAAGAAATCCACTATTTTCGCAGGTTTCACTATTTTTGGATAGCACTTACACGGCTGCTATCCTTGCCAGGTGTATAAGGTAATTCAGTTTTGGCACCTACAGTAGAAATTGTTCCTGGCTCCTTGCTAGCGTGGAAATTCCAGCTTCTCATCGAAATTAAACCACTCCAATTAAATAATTATTCTCCTCATTAACCTCACATCTATTTCTTCCTTCTGATTCTTACACATCTCAGGGTGTTCTTTCTGTTTCTACCAAGCCTGGTAGGACAGTTGCTTGTTCTCCTCTGGCATTGATGGTTGGCTGCGCTTCCTGGGGAGAAGGGGTAGTGGAAAAGGGAGGGAGGAAGAAAAAGAAGAGGCAAGGAATTTTTTAGTATCGCCATTAAACCAAGTTCAGGAAGGACTGAAATTGCACGGCTGATGAGAGAACTGTGTGTTCCGGTGGGGCTGCTCGTGGCGTGGATGTAAAACGAGATGCCGCACTGAGAGCCGTAGAGGTAGATCAAGGAAAAAGCAAGTGGTGCTTCTGTGTCTTACAGAAGTCCATTGTGAGAGCTTGCCTCATTTGGTGTGTGTCCAATTTGTAGCTATCGGTTCCGTGCTTTCTTTGCTATAGGTATGTCATCTGAATGTGTTTTGCTCATAACTGTGTGGTTTGTCACATCCCAGAGGGACTCGCTATGAGGCAGAATGACTGATAGACTACTGGTGCACTCTCCTTTAGGATCATCACTGGAAATGCTTAAGTATTCCAATCCAATCTATAGCACAACACTGAGCAGAATTGTTTCAGGGTAAAGAAAAATGGACAAAGTAGTTCATCTACAGAAAATGGACAAGTCTATTTAAAGGGGTTTTTGATGATATTCATGATTTATTCTTAGTATCTATGGTACATTAAGGCCCGTAGCATTTCCTCTGCACGCTTGCGGCAATGCACTTCCTGGATGTGGAGCAATGGTACAGAAAATACTTTTCTAGGTGGTTTTCCCACAGAGCAAGAATACAGGGTGGACCTGTTTAAATGCTTGAGGGCAAAGCTGCCTAGTAAATGCTCGTTAAATTGAACCCTACATCTATAGCATATGCAAAGTCCAGTCTGCCTCTATTTCTTATGATTTACACTAACAAGTTCTCCTGTTCATGTGCAAACCAGAGTTTGCTTAGGACATTCATTCATGACAGTCAATTCCCCATGAATATTTAATGAACTTATTAATTACACTGATTTTTAATTTTTTTATTTTCCCTTCAGAAGTAAGGAGAAAGGATTCAAAGAAAACGGTGAACCCTCATTTTTCCTGGAAGACACAAGACATGTAGCCAAAACTAAGTACCGAAAATGAGTAAAAATGGATGGGGAAACTGGAGCCCTAAAGATTATTTCACTCTACTTCTTTCGTCCTCAAGCTTTATTGCCCCCTACTCCTTTTGTGAAATCCTTGTTCCAAGCTCCTTTTACTCTTCTTCATCTATTTTATTGTAGTTTCTTCTTGACACTGTTACCCCTTTTTGTTCTTTGCATCCACTTGTCATCTTCCCTTATTTTCTTCTATTCAGTTCCCTCTTTGAATTTCCTTTTTTGTGTGTCTCCCTTCTAGAAGTTTGCCTAATTTTTTTTTATTTATTTATTTTTTATACTCTCTCTATCAGTTCTTTATTGTGTTTTCTAATCCTGGTTTTACCAGGATTATGTGGCTGGCTTGTCTGAAAATGCTGGTGACTCCTCTTTAGGCCTTGAAACAAGCTAAGGGAACAGTAGAGATTGTCAGTGCCTGGCTGTCAAAGCAGCAAAACATCATTTTAGTGGCCAGTGTAGCAGCATATCATACCTGTGGCCAAGGCAGGAACTACAGTATTTCTCCTGCCTTCCTTGGTGATTCTGGGGATTGACAGGAGAATTTCAGATGAAGTCAGAAATTTCAGTTTGTTTTATCTGAGTCAAGATTGCTACCAAATCATAAAAAATACCCCTTTACTCTTATACCAAATTGCAGTCTCTTAAAGCAGATGATTGGATTCTCTTATCTCAGGTTTTTAGGGGTGTTTCATATGTTGTAAAGATAATTAGAAAGAAAACAGAAAGAAAAATTGTTGATGAAGTTCTGTGTCTAAGGTGCAAACCCAGAATTCTGCATTACTCTGGTCGTCTTCCCCAATTCTGATGTTTATAAGGGCTTTTATAACCAATGTGCCTGCTCAGATAGTGTTTTCAAAGTGTATCAAATCTGCTGGTTCAATTCCTTTCTTTTGTGGAAAAGGGCAAAACCTGTTAAGTTAGAAAAAATTACCAAGTGGTGTTCTACTAGCATCTGTCTTCATGAGTGGTTAGAGATCTCCAAGGTGTACTGCTTTGTACCTGATATACTGGCTAGGGAAGCTCAGTCTGGAACTGTATCTTGTCTTAATGTTAACAAGTGTTGATTACCATAGTTGGAAAATCCTATTTTTCAATCCCAGTAGCACCACAAAATACCTTGCAATACCAGTATTCCCAATTTTTATGTTTCCTTGTTCCTCTATTTTTAGTAGACCCTGGCCACTGTGGCTACTGTGGGTTACTGAAGTTAATTGATATTTACCCTCCTCCTCAAGAACTTTAAAACTGTTACTTCACAGTGATGGGGGAATTTCTAGCAGCCAGAACAGCTGATGGAACTTCCCTTTGCAGCCACCATAGAAAAAAACCAGGACAAGGTAGCTAAAAAGCCACACGATAGTCTGTATGCTACCTGAATACTGTCCTGTGTAAGCAAGCTCAATTCTTCCAGTGGAAACTGCACAGCTGATACCGTGTCAGAATTTGGTCCATCATAGCAAGGATCAGAA